GCCACTGGATCATTATTTTACTCACTTTACCCAGTAGTTAAAATGTGTGTTTTCTGTCTTTCCCATGCCTTTCATCTTCAATTGTCCAGGCAGCCAATAAAGCAGAATAAATGAGCAGCATTCAAAAGTTGTACATTTTAAAGCTTTCTATCATTATGCAAAATCTATATCATCATTAATCACTTTTTTTCTTAATGAATTTGGGGACTCGTGTTTCTGCTGCTAAGTACTCAAAGGAGTTATTAAATTTATGGCTGTCTGGTTCCCCCATCTGTTTCCTTAAAAATTCACTGCAATTATTATTTCAGCAGAATTTCTAAACCTTGCCAGACTTAAGAACAGGGAATGCTACTGTAAGCATGAGGGGGAGCTAATGGCATATGAGTGGCAAAAAATCACCTAAAATCCAGATTAAACCAGCCTTGCCTGTAGTTTTCATGAGGGTTAAGGCAAGAAAAGGAAGGCTGACAAAATTAGGAGAGCTGGAAAAATTCCTGCCCATCCAGGTCCAGCTGTCCACTGCTGGCTAGGTATTAGGAAAATATTTAGTTAATTTTCATTTTTCTGAAGAAGGCAGCCCCTTTCTGCAATGTGGGCAGAGGTTTGCAGCAAAGCTGCTGAGCACACAGAGAGGCCGTGGGGCACTGGGGTGGCAGCTGGAGGATAGAACCAGTCCTGGGAGGAATTTCTGGGAACAGGACTCTGCTTCCTTGTGCCAGAGCCCTGGTGGCAGGGGGGCTGTGGATTTTACTACACCAAAGCTGTGGCCAGGAGCATTGCTGCCCTATCCCTGGCAGAAATAAGCTGCAGAATATAAACCTGTGCTGCTGCAAGAGTCTGGAGGGAGCCCTCACCTTAGAGTGTGCGCACCAGGTGTTTAAGGAGGCTGCTGACAAGGCTGTCACCTGGAGAAGGACAAAGGACCTTTCTGGTGCACAGAGCCACGCTGCTCCCCTGCCCAGGAAGAACCCTTTTCTCTGCATGAATTCCACAGATCTGTGGCTGTTTGTAATAAAATGGGACAAACAGCATTTTTATGGTGAAAGGGCTGTGTTTTGTTCCTCATCTGCCATGATATGCTCCTGTGGTGCATCACAGCCTCTTGGGTGCAGTATGTGGTCATATCACTGAAGTCCCCCCTTCAGATGGCTTCCCTGGCCCCATTGTGCACCTGCTTATTATCAAATTAGGAGGATCCCTGAGTCTTTATTTTCACTGTATTTATGCCAGGACAAATTTTTGCAGCTGATAAATTTCCATCTGCTTTTATGAACAGTGGGATGGGCTTTTCCTTCTCAGGAAGGAAAAGTCGTCGGGTGTTGCCCAAGCTAAAGAAAAAACAATGATCCAAGAAGGATTGACTGACTGGAAGAGGTTGACTCTGGTGTGCCTGAATTGCCCAGAAGGAAGATAATGAAGAGAATGAGAAGAGCAATTGCTTCAATAAATAAACTGGAACATGTGCGAGACCAATACCACTGGGGACTGATATATGCCAAGAAGTCTGTTTTTAACATCTGCTCTTCAGCAGCCTTAATATGTTATGACCAGATCAATAAATCTTCTGCTGCTGGTGTCAGATATCCAACAGCAGCCAGAGAGTGGGGAGGAAATCCACACAAAGAATATAACATGCTTACATATTCACTGATCCACACATACAGGCATTTCTGTGCAGGTGCACTGTTGTACTAGTGGAAGGATTAATGTGAAATCAGTGCAAAATGGTGCTTTAGTAGCCCTGACAAAGAGAAGCCACGAGTGGCTGGTACTCACTGCCTGCAATCTCTTTTTCTGCAGAACATAAGCTAGAGGGTTGCTGTGTTGCTGGCAGCTCATGTCCCACTCAGTGAATCCAGAGATTCAGTATGTTCCTTGCCCTACCACAATTAAAAGGCTTTTTATCTCTTACCAAGGTTTTTATGTGCTGCAAATGCTGAGGGAAGCAGGTGAGGCAGTGTAGGCATAATGGCCATTTTTTAAAAGCATTCTTACCAACCTGCAGCAAAGAAGGGCTGAGAAACAAGACCAGAAAACAAAAAGAGGGACTGAGCAACAAAATTTTGGCCAGCAAGCTGCTGTGGTGCTGGCAGAGTCTACACTTGCAGCAGGATGAACACAAGTGTTTGTTCTCTCCTCTCCTTCAGGGTATTCCCCTGCAGTGTCTGGGACAAGCCCCACCTGGCTGCTCCTCAGCCTCCCCAGCTTGCCCTCCAGCCCCTGAGCTCCAGCCACAGCTGGACTCAGGCCACTGGGACAAGCCCCACCTGGCTGCTCCTCAGCCTCCCCAGCTTGCCCTCCAGCCACAGCTGGACTCAGGCCTGGGAGAAGCTGAAAATAGGGTTCACCATGAACATCTGCAGTTCAGGTGCAGTCAGAGCTGTGCAAGGTTCTGCTGGGCCCATCTCCTTCCCTCACAGTGGAGCGACACTGGAGAGCACCCACAGCATTTTCTTGCAGGGAAAAAAGAATGCGAGAAACCAGATCTCCTTCTTCACTCAATTTACTTTTCAAGCCTGGGGGGACTCCACTGAAGGGCTTGGCACAAAGATTGACGTCTGGGCTATGGCATTAAGCAGAACTTGTTCATTTAAGACAGGACAGTGGCTTGGAAGAATAGAAGGTTGTGACCTCTCTGATGCAGCAGCAGTTCTCCTGACAGAAGGTGATAAATAAAGGAGTCAGTGCCACGGAGAGTATCTGAAAGCTTTGCACTGAGCAATGTGAAGAATGCTTGCTGTGACCCCAAGAACCTTTACATCAAGAAATCTCCTGGGCACGTGGGGGTAAATAGGTCTTGTTTTAAGTGCTGCCATGGCTGGGTTCTGGGGGATAGCAGCGAGTCCAAAAGCCTGCTTCATTTACTGCAGATGTCTGATTTTTTCCGTCAATATGGCTCCAATGTGCTTTATTTAATGACAGACATGGACCTGGAAAGTGAGGAACTTGCAGCGTTTGAGTTTATTTAGCCACTCAACAGAAAACCATCTGGAAATGGTAGATTTCAGATTCTTTTTATTTCTGTGTAAATAGCAGGGCTTTTTCAGAGAGCCAGGTGCTCTGATGGGTGTTACTGGACTGTGAGCAGTTATTACAGCTGGAACATGGAACTGCGCCTCCTACTTCTTCCAGAAACCAGGATCAAAGTTTTTGTAGAATCACAGAATGGTTTGGGTTGGAACAGACCTTAAATATCTAGTTCTAACCCCTGTGCCATGGGAATTTGCAGGAATTAATTCCTACGACAGCAAACCAGCCTTAGACTTCAGGTGGTCAGACATCCATACCAGGTACAAGTGTGCTAGGAATGCCAAAGGAGCCCACTTGTTTGATCATTCCTGATATGGAACAAACAAATATTTCTTAATAAGCACAATACAGCCCAAACTAAAGCAAAGTAGCGATAACCCACCAGTCCACCATAAAAATTGTAAGTTAGAGACAAAAAACCAAGGAGCTGCCTTAAAAATCTAAGGAGGCTGAGAAATGCAACACGCTTGGGTTCTTTTTATTTTTGCCTGTAGAGCTTTGAGCTTTTCACTCAAAATGAAAATGAAGACTAAATGGAATGAAGACTGCTCTAACAACACCTGTCTCCGGGGACTGAGGCAGCTCAGGAGAAAAATCAGTGTTGTAGGAGAGCTGTAATGAATTTGGTGGAGTTGGCAATGGCACCTTCATGGCAGTCCCTGCTGTGGGCAGATGTTACAGCCCAGGTCTGCGCAGTGCTTCCCACCTGCAAACACCCTAAGCAGCCTGATGGAGAGCAGCTGAGCTGGATCTGAGGCATCATCAGACTCCCCGCATCCAAAACTCCAAAACTCCACCTCATCCCAAGAGACGTGCTTGCAGCCAAGGAAATCTTGGAATTGGAGCCTGCCTGAATTTTCTGGTTCTGCACACGCTGCAGTGCTGTCCAACATTCACCCTTTCTTCCTCCTCTAGAATCACATTTCCAGTAATTCCGAGTGTGGTTTCCTGCTGGGTGAGGATTGTGTGAGGACTCTGTGCCAAAATCCTCTCTGCAGCTTTTGGAACCGCTGATTAATTGAATGCCTTTTGTAGAAAGGGGGAGAGCTAGCGGGACACAAACACAAAATGTAAAAGCCTTTGGGACAGGGGTGAAAAACGGCATTTTCCATTCCAGGAGAGCAGGCAGAGCTTTGGGAAGAGGCAGGAGCGATGCCCCTGGCCAGGAGGGTTCATTCCTGGTTGGAATTCCTTAGCATTCCAGGTTGGAACATCCCATGGGCGGTGTGAGAAGCAGGGCACCAGGCTCCGTGCTACAGACCCTGCTGCCGATTTTAGGAGCTCTCTAAACACAAAAACACTTTCGTTTCTAAAGGAAACGTTGTTTATTCCACACAGAGAGCAAAGTGGAAGTTTCTGCAAACCAAGCACTCCAAGGGGTAAAATGTTACATCTAGTATATAACAAAATTTTCATGAACCCGCCTATCTAATATATATTCTCCACCTGCCTGATGCGTTTTTATTTGGGTAATATGACCTTACGCCATGCTGGAAACACAAAGTTTTATTGTAAAGTTATCTGAAGTCACCAGTTACATTCACAAAAGGGCAGAAAATTCATCCTGGAGACACAAAAATCCGCTTTTCAGACATCAACAGCAATTGAGGAAAAAGTCGATTTCAGGATTTCAGGACTCTTTTCCCCTCAGGATTTTTTTTTTTTCCAGGGCACACGGAAAATCTGCTTTCCAAACAGATCCCATGCACCTGTGGCGCACGCACCAGCACCTCAGGGGCTTTAGGAAGAGCGGAAAGCGGCTGTGCCGGTATTGCACAACAAAGCGCCACTAAGCACGAACTAATTAATAAACTCAGCGCTAATTGCCGGCAGCTGCCCGCCGTGCGCATGCGCCGCTTCCCGCGCAGGCGCAGAGAGAGCCGCGCCCACGTGACCGCGGGCCGGGGCGGCAATATGGCTGCGCCCATGTGCGCGCACGGGGCCTGCCCGGAGCAGCCCCGCTGAGCCCGGCTCGGCCGCCAGCCCTGCATGGAGCCCCGGGAGTCCTGGGCGGCCTTGGCGGTGAGTGAGCGGCCCGAAATGTGTTGTTTTACCTCGGTCCACAAACAGAGTAGGGGTATTTTTAGGGAATATAAATTATGTGTGTATATATTATATATGTATATACACATACATTGATATGCAATATATATTTTTATTTCTATATACATATATTTATGTATATACACACATTTTTTTAATATATACATACACACACACGTATATATAGATGTGTATATATATATATTGTCCTTGTGCAAAAAGGGTCGCTGGCTGGCAAATCCACAAAAATCCAGCACTGCCACCACCAAAACTTTTCAGTATTTCAGCCCTTTACTGAATAAAAGCATTAATGTTCATTGGGTACAAGTTGCACAGGTTCTCTTCTTAATTAGTATTGTATCTTCTGATGGTTGACGATTCTCTGCCATGGTAATTAATCCACAGGCTCAGTCTTTCTCTGCCTTTGGCTGAGTGGGTTTTCTCTGATGTGTCCCTGATGTGCCCCTTTTACCCCATGGGAGCTGATTCTGCTCAGTTGAGGAGCTGCCTTTATTAGTTTCTTCCTTTTCTTTGGGGTTTTGCCAAATGTCCTTGTGGCCCATAAATTCTGCGTCCTTTGTCTCCACCATCAGTAGTACATCCTTCTTCCCAGCATTTGTTAACCTCCCTCTGGGTCTGACATTATTGAAATATGCAGCTCTGAACTTCAGCAATTCTACTGACAATTCTGTTTTGGCTTTCTAACAGTGGACATCACACAGAGCCTGTTGGTTCCTCTGTTTCAACAATTAAATCTCCTTTGTTGTTGATCAGGCTTGAAAGTTACAAAGCTCTAACATGAAGGAAATCCTTTTTTAGGAAGAAGTTTACATATTCCATGTTTTGCAGATGTCCTGCCTGAGCATTGCCAAGGTGGTGAGCTGAGCTGAGGGGTGGCCACAGTTTGTGGATTCAGCAGCCACTCCAGAGCCACAGGGAGCCCCTGACCCTGTCTGTGAGGCGTTTCCCACCCTAAAAGCTGCTTTTCCATGGGCTCAGCAATGGGGTGAAGCCCAGTCACCACAGCTGGGCCTCCCTTGGAAACAGCCAGTGTGTTCTGTGTGGAAAATCAGGGCTGTGGTGCCTTGGGGAAAGCTGCAGCAGAGGAGGGTTCAGCTGCCTGCCCCAAAGGCTCTGAGGCAGATGGATGTGAGCAGGGAGGTCGTGGCTCCAGGTGTTGGAATTAGGTCCTGGTTTTGCTTGACCATTGTGATGGAGTTTATGGGCTCGTTGAATTTCCTGAGTTGGAAGGGACCCACAAGGATCATCCATCCCAGCTCCTGGCCCTGCCCAGAGCACCCCAACAATGCCACCCTGTGCCCAGGAGCATTGTCCAAACCCTCCTGGAGCTCTGGCAGCCTCGGGGCTGTGCCCGTTCCCTGGGGAGCCTGGGCAGTGCCAGCTCCCTCTGGGGAGAGCCTTTCCCTGATCCCAGCCCCAACTCCCCTGGCACAGCTCCAGCTGTTCCCTGGCTCCTGTCCCTGATCAGAGAGCAGAGCTTGGAGCTGCCCCTCCACTTCCCTTGGGATCTCTGATCCTGCTCCAGCTCCTGGTGAAGGTTCCTTTGATAACCCTGCTGTTACTGACAGTTGGGGGAGGAGTTTTGCTCCAGGTCCCTTGTGAACCAAAAGCCATTTATTTCTCTTTTCTGCAGTTGCTGCAAACACACAGCTATTGTCACCCCCTGGCAGGTGCTGTCTTGGCTACCTCATGAATTTAAATGACATTTAAGATACAGAACTTTGAGAACTTAAAGAAGCAATTAGTAACTTTTGATTCGTGTTTTAACAGATGGCCAGATTAAATCTGATTAAATCTGATCAATGCTATGTTGAGCAGATAAGGATTTTGATGAAAAAGACTGAAGAAGAATCAATGCATTCAAAATAGCCAACTAGATTAAAAGAGTAATTAACTTATTGATTAAACCTTTAGTGGTAGATAGTGAACACCTCTCTGAATCCTCTGTTACCCTGAAAAAAATTACTGGAGCAACACACATGTGATTTGTTTTCAGGCAGAGGTAAAAATCTGTGCAGCTGTTTCTTGGGTGCTGATATATATGAGGTAGCCTTCAAACTGTGTTTTCTGAATGTCTCATAATGGATTCATGTTAACTATTGATGGTGTTGTATTTTGAATCAGTTTTTCTGTCTATTTCAGTCTTTTCCTCATGTTTTTGTGAAATAGTTATTTTCTACAATCAGCCATGTCATGGAGTAATTAAAAATACCAAAAAACCCATCTAGAAACACAGATGATTCAGGCTTTTGTTTTATGAATTCTTTGGATAAAAACTTCTTTATGACTTTGAAAACTCCTTTATTTAATATGATTTCCAGTACCTTAAGGGAGTCTACAAGAAAGGTGGAGAGAGCACGTGGTGACAGGACAAGGGGAAATGTCCTCACACTTACAGAGGGTAGGTTTAGATTAGATATTAGAGAAAAATTATTGACTCTGAGGGTGATGAGGCCCTGGCACAGCTGCCCAGAGAAGCTGGGGCTGCCCCATCCCTGGAATTGTCCAAGGCCAGGTTGGATGGGGCTTGGGACAACCTGGGATAGTGGAAGGTGTCCCTGCCCATGGTAGGGGGCTGGAATTAGATCTTTAAGGTACCTTCCAATCTAAACATTCAATGATTTGACCATTTTTTCTTTGTAGGCTGGAACTAGATCTTTAAGGTCCCTTCCAATCTAAACCTTTCAATGATTTGACCATTTTTTCTTTCTATAGGCTTTTATTAAAAAATAAATGAAAAAAAGAAAGCTTACTTCAGGCTTTGTTCGACAAGGCAGTGAGGGAGTGTGAACACTTTATATGAAAACATCTGCTGGAAAAATGTGAATGTACTTTCTAGAGATGCCTAAGGGGGGGAGCAGAATTGCTTCAGTCTTTCCCTGATTTTATCACACAACTGCTGGAGGTGTTGGTCATTCTGTGCTCTCTTCATAAGTGACATCTACTCTCTGGCTTTTCTGTGCATAGGGAGTGTTCCATTGCTTTGATTGCACTGTTCACAACACCAAGATTGTTTTGAAAATACCTTAAAAAATGATTTAGAAGTTGTAATATCAACACCAAGATTGTTTTGAAAATACCTTAAAAATGGTTTAAAATTGTAATATATGTTACTTTCTTTTGTTGAGCCCTCCTTGTGAAAGCTGTTGGGTTGTGTGCAGGACCACCAGTTTATAAACTGATCTGAGGGAGGATTGAGTCAGCAGTGCTTTGGGTTACACATGCCTCAGTTACTCACATAAGCACCACTGATGTGACAATATTCACGCACTTTTCTCCATGATTTTGTCTTGTAGGCTGGTGGAGTTGCTGGTGTGTGTGTTGACTTGATCCTTTTTCCCCTGGATACTGTAAAAACAAGACTTCAGAGTCCTCAAGGATTTAGGAAAGCTGGTGGTTTTCGTGGCATCTATGCTGGTGTCCCTTCCACTGCAATAGGATCCTTTCCAAATGGTAAATTTTCTTTGGATTGTGCTTTGTCTTCTTTAAGTAGTAATTTATGTTACATGGGACATTTGTGTCTGTGGCTTCCTCTCCTGTGGGTGCCTGGATTCTGTAAGTCCATGTCCAGCTGTGAAGAGCAGTTTCTAGAGTTCCAGGATTGAGCAAACTTGAGCAAGACTGGGGTGAAGGCTGCTGCAGGTTTGCTGTGGAAATCAGCCCTGATTCCTTGGAAGCATTCCTGGATATAAGCCTGTCCTGACTTACAGGAGCACATAAAGCATTTCTAGGTGCTGAGGAGGGCTTGAGTCTTGCTTGTCCTGGACGCTTTTGTCATGAGCCACTCTTTCCTGGCACTGGAAATGAATGGAATTTCAAAGTGCTTGAGCACTGCAGGTGTTTGAGTTAATTGCCCTGGGGATGCTCTGCCCAGCTCCCTGAAACAGCAAAGCTTAAATTGTAAAGACATCAGGAAGGCTTTTGAAACTAAGGCTTTACAAAAGTAGGTACTTTTAGTCCCTGCAGAGAAAAGCCATCTGAAATTCCTGATGCTTTTGTCCATTTTGTCTTTGTAGGGAGGGATGAAAAAACAGCAGTGTGTGCTGTCGGATGTAAATGTTAGGAGAACTTTGCTGACAAATCCACTGACACCTTCAGATGTTTGATGTCCTTCATAAGGTGATATAAAAAAATTCAGTTCTTTATCTTGGCTGCTCTGTTATCTCCTTTAAAGGTGATAAGCATCTTTTGATTAGTAGAAGGCAATTCACATGGCCCTTCTCCACAATTAAAATCTGTTCCCCCCAAGACATGTCATTTTTTCAGTATTTACATCTCCAAAATCTGCACTGTAGTTTTATCTTTCCAACGTATGACTGAGAACTGAAATTATCTTTAGGAAAAGGAATAACCCTTAAGGTGTAAGTGCCTTTGTAGTTGACTGTTGCAGTGAATAAACAGCTCAAGTTGCTGTGCTCAGTTTAGTTTTGTGCATTTCTTGTTCACTGCACAGAACTTCTACAAATCCTTCAGAAGTTCGGAAAAAAATTTATGGAACAAAATTCAAAATATTTAACTGAAAATAACTAGGAAGAAGTTATTAAAAAACTGCTACTGAAACAGTTTTGCACATTGCAGGATAGCAGAACTGTATCAATTTTTGCTTTTTGCGTTTGTTTTTCTTTTCAATTAATCAACTGATTTGTTTTTTTTTCCCTTCCTCCCCCCTCAAAAAAAGGACCATTCATTCAATTCAACCAAGAGACGATCCCTCTACTCTATCTATGGATATGGAAGATACCAGTTTTCAAAATGTGCTGGACATCCATGGCTAATTAACACATCTTTCTGTAGCTCACTACTAAATGTGGCCTGGACACCTTTGATATTAATGGGAGGGTTACCAGGGATAGCCAGAAGCATAAACTTTTGAAGGAATTCTCTCACAGATTCTGTTGATACTATTGTACTGTTTTGGTGTAGAAATATCCTGGTTTTAACTACAGCCATGTGATGGAGGAACAGTGCAATGATTGCATGTATTCTTGAATTTCAGCTGCTGCTTTTTTTATCACCTACGAGAATGTGAAATCCGTGCTGCCCCATGGATCTTCATCTTACTTGTCCCCTGCAACACACATGGTGGCTGCCTCCCTTGGGGAAGTGGTAAGAAGGAAATTCATCTGTTGTGTGTCCAGGGGAGGGGAGGAAACCATTCAGTTGTAGAAACTCTGTTTTTTTGTCATATCTTGTGACAGTTCTTACAGCAGCTTCGTTTCTCACTGTTGGCCCAGTGCCTGGGGCTGGGTGTTGAGCTCTGAACACCCCATGCTGTTCCTGCCAGCCCTGGCCACCTCTGCTCTCCTGTTTCTGGCACAGTGTGTCCTGGCACTGCACTGATAAAAGGGGGTGCAGATGGTCTCTGCAGGTTTGAGGTAAGGAAATGGGCTGTATGGAACCAAAAAGCTTCTCTGGCTCTTTTGCAACTCAAACTTAGCCTATGGCATGGTGCAGAAAAATCTGTTGTGTCTGTGGTTCCATAATCTGCTTTTATTAACTGACTTTTTTCTTTTCTTTCCCATGGGGGCTTGGCTTAAGTGTATGTTGGTTACCAGGAGTGTGGAGATGCCATTTATTTCAGCTGAACAGCAGGTGCCTCACTACTACAGCAGCACAGCTTGGCTGTTTCCTATGGGAAGCAGCTCAGCTCTCCCTGCTCTCTGTGGGATCAGCTTTCACACCCAAGTAATTTTATTCTTCTGTAGAAATGTTACTGATTAGACTGAGTGAGATTTAGCCAGGAAACTTAGTTTAACATACCAAGTACACGAAGATAGGTGAGTGCAGCACCTATAACCACTCTGGTAGGGGTAGATAGAAGGTGATAGAGGTAGGGCTGGGTGGGATTTGTTTGTGTTGCTGCCTCAGGTGGATTCTTTCTGAGCTTGGTTAGAGCCTGTGCCGTCAGGTTGTAACTTCTAACTTAAGGCAATGCACAGAATTTATTTCCATGAAGATTCTCTAAAGGCTGTTAGAAATCAGCAGGAGGTTATTTACCACCAATGCACAACTCTAAAACTCCTTGTTTGCCTGACGTGTCATGGAACAGCAGAGCCAGGAGGTGTTTTGAGCTTCTCAAGTGCTATAGCAGAATCAAGCAAAATGACAGTGGGGCTCATGAAGAGGTGCCAGTGCTTTGCAGTGAAATCCACCAGAAGAAAATGTCTCTTCTTTGTGGAATAGGTTATTCATGGTACATTCCCTGTGCCTGTGAGGATCCTGTGGGAAAATTACAACCCAGTAACTGAATCAGCATTATCCAAAGCCCAGCTGGCTACAGATTACTCCTTCCAAGAGAACCTGTTGCCATTTGTTCCCTGTGCTAGTCTGTGACCTTTACAGCTCAGGCACTTGCTGCTTTCATGCTGGGGCTGGCAGAGGTGGTGCAGCACAGGTAAATGAGCTGCTCAGGGCTGTCTCACCTGCTCTGGCTGCTCTAAGGCCAGAGAAATGTATAATGGTAGCCACTGAAATGGCAGAGCGGCTTTATCATGTGGGAATTACAATGTTGTAACAGCCATTTTCCACCTCATTTTCCACATTTTGATAGCTTTTCTTCTCCTCTTGGAGTGATGAGTGTGAGGAGAGAAATAAACTCTAAAAAAACTGAGATAGATAGAGATTTACTACAACAAATCTGCAACAAAATAGCACAAAGCAAGACCTTCTCATGTATGTTTTGTGTAAAGTCTTAGTTGAGCAATAGAAATATATAAACTAGTCCAAATTGCATCTGGCTGAAAGTTATAATTACAGTTTTATTGATTAGTCATTAAGTTTCAATCAGGGCATAACCACTAGGGCTATTATTTTGTCAGTAGTTTTTTTGATATGTACTTTTTTTCCATTTTATACTTCATGATTTAAATTGTTTTTAATGTGAAGCATTAAGCCAAAGACTGTCCTGTTAGGATTCTTAAGGCATGTATTTGCATTTCCACACTGGTATTTTACAAAACGGGGAAATAAAAATTTAGAGCCAGAAAGTGTTGATGGATTTCTAGGTTTGCTGTTCCTTCACTGGTGAGTATAAATGAGTCAGATACCTTCTTGTGCATCAATAAAACGTGAGTATGTGCAAAATTTAAAGGTGTGTTTGTGCTGACTAATCTGTTTTGAATGTGACCTGTTAAAAATAATAAAATAGGTAAAGAGGAAGAGATTCAAAGGTTGTTTCAAGATATGATAAAATGGATGTGAGAAATCAAAATAGGAACTTTTCATTTTTATAACAGCCACTCTCCTGTACTGTTTACAGGCTGTGGAAATTTACAGGAGAAACAGTCCCCTGGAACTGGTTTGGTCCATTTTTCCAGTTCCAGGCTGGGAGAGACAAAGCCAAGCAATAAAAAGACAGGAGTTGTAGCAGTGTTTTGTTTTGTTTTTTCCTTTTAGGCAGGAGGAATATAGAAAGATAATCTCATCTCCCAGAGTGAGATAAAGAAAAGTAAATACAAAATCTCACCCTGTTATGCATAATTATTTTTTCCTACAACTGAATCTCGCTGTACAGGGACTCTGAATATCCCATAATATATTAAAAACTGCTTACAAAGGCACATCCAAAACTCTAGAGGGCAGATATGTGGTGTGTATCATCTCATCAAGGAAGGAGAAGGTTGAAGGATACATGAGTTGCCAATGGGGGAAAAGCCCTTATTACACCACTTGTGTAACTGAAATCTGGAGATGGAAAACACAGTGCATCCAGGACTTTGGAATTTTTCATCTTGACTCTGCTTTGCCCTGTATGTTTAGTCTGCCTGTATCTTCACAGTGAGCTGCCAAATGTGCTTGGAAAACGTGATATCATAGGGAGTGGAAAGGAAAACCAGATGTTTCTGAAATGTTACTTTTAATATTCTAAGGTGGTATAAGTAACTCTGAGAAGGAGAAGCATTTTTAAGCTCCTAGTGCCCATGTTCAGTAGTGACCAGGTGTGTCTTGCAGGCCCAGAGTTAACTGTACAGATTTTTTAATGTCAGTTTAATATGAGTGTGTGTATTAATTACAAGAAATTCTGCTGAAGAGAAGTTCCCTGTCTGAACCTCTCCCACCAAGCTCCTGCAAATGTGGTTTTATGGGACAAGTTTAAGATTGTCCTTGTTTGACCAATGAGGTTTCTCTCATTGCCAAACTGGTTGGATTCAGCAGAGCTAATTTGGATTCAGCACAGATAATTTTACATCCCTGTTCCATGGAGGTGAGAATAAAGTTTTTTGGCTCATGTTCCAGAGAAGGGAGCTGACAACAGCCCTTTCCCATCTAATATTTAGATATTGTTATGGTTACAATAGGAGCTTTGCAAGATATTAGTGAAAGTTTTGGGTTGTTGCCTGTAAATTGTGAGTTCACTCTTATCTTTCTGACCTTTTGTTCTTGATTGGCTATTTTTGATGACACTGTCGTTCTTTTTTTTCCCTACTTTGCAAGGCAGCAAACTACCTTGACTTTCAGAGAGGAAGTGAGGGGGAGGACTGAGGACCAGCGTGGGAGGGAGATGTCCTGTTCTTTTGGCAGCTGATGGGAATGACTGTGCTCTGGATCTCCACCAGCTGAGCTCATCGAGCTGCTTTTGTCCTTGTGCAAGTTTCTAGAGTACTTTAGGATTAAAAGTCTGGAGATTTGCAAAGCTCAAAAATTTGTCATTTCAGTGAAGAGAGGGATCATGTGACTCCACAGGGCAAGGTGAGGACAGGTATTTCAAGGTGAAATTCCAAGCTCACATGGAATTCCAGTGTGTTACCACTTGAGGTACTTCTGTGATAAGAGCAAAGTGTGTGGTTCATCTATGATTAGCATCTGACCCTTCATATTAATAACTTTGGAATTTTTTTATCTGCTGTTGGGATGTATCAAATAAGAAAACTTCTTAATGCAGGAATTATCTTCTGGGGAATTCATTTACCCTTCTCTTCTAGTACAAACTTGTTTCTTAGAAGAAGCAAGGTCAAATGCAAGCAAGTTTACAGATTTACAAATCATGATTCTGTAGAATGACATTTTAAGTGTGCTTTTAATTCAAATAAAAAAGGAAATTGTATGTTTTATTTTACATGTTTAATTGTATGTTTGTGGGGGGTGTTTTTCTGCATAAAAAGAGGCATTCTAGACATGATGGACAACGCTGTTGTCCCTCTGTCCACAAATCAGCTACTTCATCCCTCTGCCCTGGCAGCATGGCTTGAAACCTTTAACTAGTTTCAGTTTAAGAGAAGAGTGGGAATCTCCAAAAGGATATTGGTGTAAATTCCAGGAGAGTTACTGGCTAGGTCAGAGAAGAAAGTTGTTATTAATGCCTGTTCTGAGGAGAAGGCAGGAGCATGAGTCAGACAAATCCGCAGAGTAATGGAATGAAAATCTCCAGCAGGATAATTGGCCAGGGCTTTGCAGATGGTAAGCTCTGGAAGATCAGCTTGCAGGAGCCCAATCTAACAGAGACAAGACAGCCACTCACATCAGACATGTACTTAAGATTTCAGGTTTTTCAAACTCTAAAGCTTGCAGTGTTGGAAGATGTGACTTTTCAGTTCGACAGGAAAATTGGACGCTCTAGGGAGAGCTGATTTTAGTTCAGCAAAGAAGCAATAAAGTACTTATGTGTAGACTTTGGGCTAATGGCTTTGAATATTTTAGCTATCCCTTTTCTAAAAGCTGAACTAATAAATGGACAAAACTGTCCTGTGTTTTGTGCTTTGCATCCTATCTCCTCTCAGCCAGTGTGGCATGTGCTGGCAGATCATAGTATGCATAAGTAGCGTGCAAATGACAGCAAAGTGTGATGGGACCTTTTCCACAATACTGAAACTTTTTTTTTCTATTTTCATTGTGTCTGTCATTTTAGCTCTGACTGCCTTTTGTGCTGTGCAAATCTGGCTGCACACAGGCTTTGAGAAAGGGAATACTCCAACCCTGGCAAGATGAGCAGTGGCAGGGAGTGCAGCAACCTAGGTGGTCTTCTGAATTAATCGTGGTGGGGTTTGAAATATTCATACATGAATCTATGTGAGGTCAGGTCTGCAATACAGATGCTGTGGGATTTTTGCCAAATCCTTATGCAGAAGCAGTGGTTAGGAGATGATTGGGAAGGTGAGACTGCTGCCTTT